TTACAATAGTATTTTCCAACATACAGTTAAACATAATCATTTTAACGGCCCTCCGACACAATACTGGGGCATGCCTTTAAATATTCTCAGACTTGCCGATAATTATAACATTAACTTTTCTTTCAGCAAGATTCAAGACACAATATTATAAATGTAGTCTTTATTGTCCCTTTATGTTAGATTTCGGATTTTTTATTTGATTATCTGTCTAATAGTAAACATGATTCTTTGAATCAGTAACCATTTATTAAGCACCTGCTACTTTCCAGGCATCATATGAAGGTGCCACGGGTAAATGGTATCAGATATGTTTGCCCTCTGGTTGTTCACAGCCTAGAGTGGGTGGCAGGCTTGTGATTCATGAAGTTCAGGGTGCTGAGTAAGCTGATAACATTGAAGACTGAGTGTTCTGGCAAAATAAGAGGCCCCTCTTACTGAGATAGAAACCGTTTTCCAGAGAAGCGATGCCATGCTAAGTTTTGAAAGAATCATACCAGGTTTTAAGAAAAAGAAAAAAGAATGAAACAGAATATGGATAAAATAAGAGCCTCATATTGAAAAGAACCTGAAAATGACTTACCTGAGGTAGGTTTGGGTATTATCCCCAATGCAATGGGAAACCACTGAAGACTGTCAACAAGAGAGATAAAAATCAGTGTACATTTCAGGGAGATCTCTCTAATGACTGTGTGGAAGATAGATAAAAGAGAGACAGACTGGAGGCAAGGAAGCTATAAAATAAAAGCATTGCTGTGGAGGCACATGGCTGGAAGGCTGCACGGTACAGTGGCTAAAAGCCAGGGCTTTGGCCAGTAGACTTGGGCTTATAGATCTAATATCTGTGTAATATTTAGACGGTCAAAAATTATATGGAACAGCCTTACTCAGTAAAAAAAAAAAAAAAGAAAAGAAAAGAAACCCAACCAGGTTAATTGAGCTTAGGAATGAATGTGGCAGGAACTCAGCTCAGGAACTGGCCACACCTGCCATCTCTCCAACAGGTGTCCTTGTGTCTCCTGTCTGTTTCCTCTTTGCACCTGCCCTACTCTGTTTTCTCTTCCAATCCGCCTCTCTGATGACTCAACTTCTTCTTCCTCGTAACGCCTCCTTACCAATGGACATCACGACTTCGCAGGCCCCCAATGAGTAGTCAATTTCCCCTGCTGAGAAAAGTCTCTTAACATTCCTTGAGTCGCATCGGCAAGAAAGAGGCATGGATGGCTCTGCTCATCTCTTTCACTCTGCAGAATTTTGACTGGCTCTGGGTGTGGAGTGGTAATACTGAAGGAGGCTATGGAGAGCAGTGGGACGTACGTTAGAACTTATGGACAACAGGCAGTTAACTTTGGAAGGGACGATGGGAAAGAATACCTAGAACCAGTGGCAAGAAGAATGATCTGCAGGGGACAGGTTCAAGGAAGAGTTAACCAAATCAAACCAGCTGAATGTAAGGACTCATTAAATAGGAAAAACAAAGAGGGAGGTTTCCGATGTGAGCCACTGAGTAGCTAGCATGCCATCCATCCAAATAGAGAAAACAAGGAGGTCCTTCGATGAGTTCAACTTTGAACTTGTGGGTCAACTTTGTAGAAACCCAGGAGGTAACCATACATCATTTTTGGTTTTCAAGAGATATTTGGACTAGAGATAGTCATTTAGGACCACTCCCTTTTTTTGGCTTCTTGGGTTTTCTTTTACTTTGTCTTTCTCCCTTGCCTTCTCTACCTCCTTCCCATTTGCCTTTTCTTCCCTCTTCCCTTATGTGATCTCTTTGGAGCTGGGGGTGGGTGGGGGGGGTGGGTCACATGTTCCTAGAAACCCAGTCCTGGTTACTCTTCATCCTCTCTGGATTGTCTCATGGAATCTTGAATTAGTAAATGCCATATTTATGCTTGTGACTTGAAAGACTTACTGTCTTCAAATACACATCCTGTTACTTACTTGACTTCTTAGGTATCTAAATGACCTCTCAGATTTTGATTTGAACCCCCAACAGCCCACCCACCCACGTCGTCTTTGTCTGTTTGTATAACACTATAAAGTCTCTCACTTAACAAAAGTCAGAACTTCAGGATTTTTCTTGATACAATCTTTTCTTTATTATATTCCATCTCCAAAATATGTCACGATTCCTTTCCATCTCTATTGCTGCCATCTTATTCAGACAACTAATAAAGAACTTTTTCATTGAATTATTCAGTGGTTTCCTATTTCACTTAGAATAAAATTCAAATTGTGACAAAGGCCACGTCACCTCTATCCTCACTACACACTCCTGCAACATGGTGTTCAAACTAATAAGGTTCTTTCCATTAGAGCATTTGGTCTTGGTGTTTCCTCTCTCTAAAACCATTTTACTGGTTTGGCTCTTTGGAATTACATGAGTCACAATTCACACTGAATACACAATTTGCACTGTTATCTGAATAAAGGGATCCAGCCATTCCATCACTGTTATATTAATATATTCTTTTGTATTTTTGTACACTTTTCCCTCTGAAAATAGCTTTATTCATTTGCTTGTTTAAGGGCAGTTTCCCCACACCCATTCACTGTGATCTAAGCTCCATGAGTGCAGATTTTGCCTTCTGTTCACTCTCATATCTGCAGTGCATAAAGGAGTGTGTAATGTGTACACAGTACGTTGTTGATAAATGACTCCAATAACTAATTAATTAATTCTAGCAAAAGACCCTTGGTAGATCTCATTTTCATTATTCTCTGTATGATCCGTTTTCCACGAAAGGCCAAATACCATCTTTTGAAAATATGAAAGAGATCATATCCCTCCGCACATCCCGCTCATCAGTTCCACTAATTGAACCTCTTTGGTGGCTTCCCAGCGCCGCGAACTGCGATCCAGGTCCAGCATGTAGGTTTCTAGTGCTACTCCCTTCTTGCTTCTCACACTCCCTGGATCTCCCTTCAATTTTTTGTTCATACAAAACTCTTCTTTTCTTGGGCGGTTCCTCCCAACATTTTTTGCATAGATACCATCTTCTCTTTCTTTAAATGTTGGCTGAAGTGGTATTTCTTCAGAGATGCTTTCCTGATCTCCCTACCTGAAGTACGTTCCCCTTATGTTTCCTTGTTCTCAACCCCTGATGTGTTTCCTTCATAGAATTCATTAGTTTTCCAATTACTACAATGACGTTTTTGTGTTCTTGGTTTTCATCGGCTGATTCACTTGAATGTAGGGTGATCAGGGTAGTGATCAGGTCTGTCTTTAGTATCCTTCGTACCCAACATGACACTTGGGATACTGAAGGTACTCAGTAAACATTGTTTTATATTAAAATGATAGCAATCGGTAGTAAGAAGCCCTTAGAATGATTAGATAACTCCTAGTTACAAACTGGAAACTCCTAACCAAATTTAGCTTGAAGTTGTGGGGTTTTTTTGGTTTGTTTGTGTTAGGTTCTCTCAGGCCAGTATGTGGTTTTATTTTATTTTATTTTTTAAAATTCCTTTTGGTGTAACGTGAATGCTACACTTTACCATAGTCCTCATCTAGGGGTGGTATTGAAAAAATGGTAACAACAAGGAACTTACATCTATTAGAAAGGACATAGGATATTTTTTTCAGATATTAATAAGATACTAACTGTTCTACTCTGTCAGATATTAACCCCAAGAGGAGGGAGTGATTTAAGAAGTTGCCTGATTATAGAAAGATCCAGAGGAACCTGGGGAAGAAGACTTGGCCAGGGCGAGGGGTGGGGACGCAAATAGGCCTTTAAGGCAGATATTTACTGATTTTTGTGGATGTCTCTCAATATTTGAATACCCCTGCCATTCCAGTCCTGCCATCTCTAGCCTTGCCCTTGTAAGTATTTGAGTTTGTGGTTCCACTCTGCCCCTCCCCCATTTAGAATAAGAAGGGAAGAAGGCAGAGAACAGAGCCCTGGGAATGTCAACATTCAAGGACTGAGTGAAATAAATGAAGCCCAGAGAGGAGCAGTGAAAGAAAGAAAGGAAAGAAAGAGAGAGAGAGAGAAAAGAAAGAAAGGAAGAAAGGAAGAAAGGAAGAAAGGAAGGAAGGAAGGAAGGAAGGAAAGGAAGGAAGGAAGTTAGGAAGGAAGGAAGGAAGAAAAAGAAAGAACCGCAAGTAGATGGTTTGTTTTCTAGCAGCTCAGGGAGAAACGTGCTTTAAGTGGTCAACTGTGCCAGTAGATAAGGGTGGAAAAAGTGTAGGCATTGGTGTCTCCAGGACAAGTTTTCAGTAGACAATAGGTATTAAATCAGCTTTCAGTGGAATGAGGAATGGTTGCAGACGACATGAGAGGCGTACCAGAGAGGGGAGTGGTCAACGTGGTCCACCCAGGGTGTAGGGCATGAGGAAGTGTGTTGTCTGTAGATAATTTCAGAACAACAAAAAGCTGACTGAAGTTTATCTTCTTTTTAATATGGCCATACTCTGGCAGTTCCCAACGAGGTTAGGGTTAAATTTTTGCTCCCTTTACTTACCACTCTTAAAGAGAAGGATACAGCTGAAAGCGGTCATCAGGTCGAAGGAAGGTGACTTTATAAGACTAGAGGGGACTTGTGAATGTTTATATAATAGAAAGAAAGGGTCTGCCTAGAGGCAGAGTTTTAACAGAGCAGCAGTTGTAACCAGTACAGAATCTGAGGGTATACGGAATGCACAAAACACAGGAATGATGTAGCCTTGAACAAAGTCAGGTCTCTAATTCCTAGAGGAAGAATCCTTGATCCTTGATTCAGAACTGTTTCCATACGGCAAGTTGTAGATCTTTTTTTTTTAATTTCTTAAATTAATTCACAAACTTTGACTACATTATTAAATAGGTTTTCGTTATAACCACTTTTGAAAGTAGCATCGATGTTTCAGAAGTAACGTCAGTATTCCAGATGTGACCACTAACTGAGTTATTTCATGGATTTCATGTTAAAGAATTTTAACTGCGTTATGTGAGAAGATATATTCTTATTTCTGACATTAAATTAGTGTGTTCTGCATTTGCACTTATTTCATACAGGTAACAAATATTGGGTGTTCAAGGACACGACTCTTCAGCCTGGTTACCCTCATGACTTGATTTCTCTTGGAAGCGGAATTCCCCCGCATGGTATTGATTCAGCCATTTGGTGGGAGGACGTTGGGAAAACCTATTTCTTCAAGGGGGACAGGTCAGTACACACTTCACATGAGGAAAACAGTTAACTAATGTTTAGAGAAGTCAATATTTCTAGTCTATCATAGGCATGTACATTTGATGGAGGAATCTGACTGTGTGTATATAAACACAAGAATTAATAGAATTGAAACTATTTCTAAACATATTTTAGAACAATATTCAAGATAAATCTCTCTCTAATATACCCAAATAATGTGACTTTCTTATGAATGTATATATGTAGTATATATTTTTTCTTTTCTTCGTAATCTTAACATGCCTATAAAACTATGTAGCAGTGTATATTTATCATTACAATACATTTCCTTGTAATTTAACTTACTTTCTAACACAGGATTTTTTTTTTTTGCTTTTATATTTTAAGTTAAAATTTTGCAGTCTGCACACAGTTAATTTTGAGTATTTTCAAATATCTTCGGTGTAGTCATGAGTTCTAATTTTCAGGACACTATTTATTTAGGTACTGGCAGATAGGTGCTGTGAACTAACCAGCCATCACTGGGCTAAATACTTTTGGTTGAAAGTATAATATCCTTCGCTATTTTGTCTCATTTCTTTTCCTTTTATGGCATTCCTACCAGAGTTTGTAAAGCTTAAGTGAATTGTTAGTCTTACAACTTTACAGTGATCACTAGGTGTACATAGTTCTACCCTTGCCCACTTTTTGACAGATATTACATATAAAATATAATGTTGAAGGCTACATTTTTATTCATTTAAATTAATATTTGGTTAAAAAAGTAATAAAAAAGAAAAATTAAATTTTAATTATACTATTACTAGCCAGGTCAAAATGTGACACTGGTATGTCAAAGAACTTTATGCCATTTTACAAGTAAATTTACAGCACACACCTACACACACACACATATAAACAACAGGCTTTAATGACCAGCAAACTAGTATTGAGTTTGCCATAAAATCTTAGCATAACATAACCCTATAAAATGTCTCAAATTTCAGGAGAAAAGTAAGAATATAAGCCTTGTGTATTTTGCATTTAGCAGGTGATTTCAAATGTTGAGCTTTACCTATGAACAAAAAGATCCTATAATTTGCCTCCATGGGTACAAATGTATACTTTTACATTTATTCTGTTATTAACTTTCTATACATCAGATTTGTATATATTTCTATGGCAAAATGTGCATAGATTTTAATTCACTCCCATGAAACTAAAGTTTTGCTAAACATTTCCTACTAAATCACAAAATTAAAAAGATTCATCCAACTAAAATTCTATTAGGGAAGAAGACACTATTTATCACAGAAAAGTATATGATTCTCACCAAGATAAAAGCGTAATAGAGTATGGAAAGGAAAGAAGGAAGGTGCTGACTGCCACAGCATGGTGACTACTAATAAAAATAAATCTGTGAACTTATATTCTTTAAAATAACAACTCTCAAGGTTGTTAGAGTTAATTCCTCAGCTGGTTTTAATTGCTTGAAAGTACTCTTTCGGGACTAGGTTCAATACAACGTTGTGTAGGCTATTTGTTTTTAGTTTTATTTTCTTTTGTTTGTTTTGGTTTTTCTGTTTGTTTGTTTGTTTTTTTTCCCCAGAAAAGGGTAGAATCAAAAGGCTGAGAAGACACACTGAATATGTTAACTTCTACAGGACAGAACATGAAAGCTTTTCATGTGACCGTTTTAATGAGGGTTTCATAGACGATCAGAAAAACTGCCATTTTATTGTCATACTTTTTAAAAATGTTTCCATTCTAAAAACTTAGCACTTCTTGAAAGAACTGAAGTTTAGAAATTAAACGTGGGCTGCCTCAACCCAGTGAAATCAATGAAGGATAGATACCAAATTTGTAACAGAATAAAGACTATAGTAAATGAGAAAAGGAGTTTTAGTTCACTTATTTCCTACTTGAGAAGCTGCATGCAAAATATAACACATATATAGAAATATTCTGCTTCTAAGTTCTCCTTAAATTAGTCTTATAGGTTTTAAAAATATATAAAGCAGGGTCCCATTTAATTTCCACGTATGTGATCTTATGTAAGAGTTTGTGAGTCATAGATGTTTGTAAACAGATTACTTCATATTTGCGTACTTATATAATTCCAAAGTCACAACATTTATCAATACATTCATTCTAGATTAAAAGTAGATGGAAAAGACATTAAACTGTCTAACTCAAACAGATAAACAACAATTTGATTGTCACTTTTGTGTAAGAACTCAGTGAGTCTTCCTTCGTTAGAGGCATTTATATATTTACAATACTTATCATTTTTAACATTGCATATATCTTCCATGTACATTTTTGAAAGAAAACATATTGAAAATTATTAATCCTTACTTATTTCTTCCTCTTATTCCACTGTCATTTTTCTGCCTAAAAAATGTATTAACAGGTTTCTATGTCTCAAAGGCTCTGGTCAGAAAAGAATCTTAGAGATAATCTATTCTAGGTATAAAAACACCAAATTGCTTTAAGGTGTCAGGTCAAATAATGTGGATAGTGCTGTGTACAGCAGTAGTATTTATGGCCATAGGGAGTGATGGGTACTGTGAGGAGCTGGAAAGTGCGGATACTCTAGGAAAACAGTAAATATCAAAAACATATATATATAATTTGCTAGACAAACAAAGCACATCTTTAAATTAGATTCAGTTTAAGTGCTGCCATATGTCAGCCCTGCATCTTATTCACGTCCTACCAAATTCTAGGCAGCCTCAGTTACACCCCAGAGGTGTTCATCCTTCTGTACTGACTCCCTATGGTAACAGTGTAAATGTGAGACAACCCATTCCCTTCTCAACAGCTCTAACTCCTGCTTCCTTAAGATTCCTCTACTGGTCTTGCCCTAGCCCTCACTCATTTATTTAAAAAATAGTTTGGACACACATTGTGTGACAGGTGCCAGGTGATAAAGATATTGCAGTAGAAACAGCCACAAGGCTTCAGCTCCCATGGTTCTTAGGTTCTGTCAGGGGAGATAGTAGTAAACAGAGAAGAGATAAATGACCCTGACATTTTGACATTGAGGAATGCTCCAAAGACATAAAATAGGTGACATTGTGACAGAGGCTCATGGGTGGTAAGGAGCGGTTGCGAAAGCAGTGTGGAAGTCAAGAAAGGCCTAAGTTGTGAAAGTGACACTTATGCAGGGACTTGAGTGGGGAGAGGTTTCAGCCACATAAAACCATTCAAAATGATGCCTCATAGGCACATGCAACAGCAGTGGAAAAGCAGTAACGTTGGAATGCGCACATCAGAAAAAAACATGGTGGCTTGAGCATAGTGAGTGGCCGAGGAAGTCACACAGGTAAGCAGGGACCAGATTATGGGGCCCTGCAGACCATGGCAAAGACTGGATTCTGAGTACCATGGAAAGGCATTGGAGGTTTTTCAGTGGGGCATGCATGTTCTGCTGTGTGCTCACGAACATCATTTGGGCATCTGTGTGAAGAATGGGCTTCAAAACTGGAAACAAGGGGATAAATTGGGAGGTGTCCTCCAGTACAAGGGGACATGATGGTAGCAGTGGAGACAGAGCAAAGGGGGTCGGCATGGTGTACATTTCAAATATAATCATAACAAGTTTTCTTAGTGGCTTAAATTTTAGGTGTGAGAAAAAGAAAATCAGACACTTCGAGGTTTTTCACCAAAAATTATTGAGTTAGATGGTGCCGTTTCTGCAGAAAGGGCAGATGGGGAAGAAATATTAAGTGAAGGGAATTAAAAGTTTGAAATATTTATATCCAGATTGAGTTACCTGTTTTCACACCAACTGGAGAAGTCAAATAGGTAGTTGGACAATTGAGTTCACATCTTAGTGGAAAGGTTGGTTGGAGGCACAGATCTGAGAAGTAACTGAACATATAAATTGTACTGAAAGCAGGGACCTGCACAAAATCTCCCAAGTGTAGAGTCAGCTGAAGAAGAGTAGATGCAATGATGGTTCTTTAAACAGATCTGTAAATTCAGATGAGAATTTCCAGTTTGACTTTTTCACATACGGCCTGGAGCTCAGTCCCCCAGCCTCCCACTTGCCCTTTTCCTAATATGCTATAATTTGATGCTTGGATACATTCTGATTTTCATAACATTTA